ACCAAAAAACAAAATCTTTTTTTTTTTTTTACTTTGGACAAACCATCATATTTGGTTGTCCAAAGTAATAAAAAACACAAGAGAATGTAAACTCACGTATATTATTCTAATTTTCAATGGAAACTGTAAATGCATGTCATTTTTTAACATAGTTAATCAATTAAACTTATAAAAAACCAAATCAAACACAAAAATTCGGTTTAATAAAAAACACAAAAGCAAAATTGTCGTTTTTTAAATCAAATTTAGCTTGTAGTGTGTTTTCTATATTCTCCAATTTATATGTCGCATGTCATTTAACTGTTAAAAAAAAAATTATCTGGATCCGACACTGTGTAAAGGTTGTATTTCATTGTACTTTTTTTTTTAATTTTTAATTTTTTTTATTTAGGAAAGTTGGGAATGCGAGAGAAACGCCTGAACGAGCCTAAACTTAAGCTTCAAAGACTCGTGTACATGGATATACCGGATCTACAACAAGTTTTTTTTTTTTTTTTTTTCTTTTTCTTTTTAATTTTGTTGGAAAGAAAAGTAAGAATGTTCAAAGTTTGAATTGAAAGATTCATGAATTTGGGATTTAGATGAAAAGTAATGAAATCTAATTAATATAGTTCTTTTTTTTAGTGTGATTGATAGGTAAAAGATGTATTTATTTGTTAAAGGTGTATTTATTGTGTTTGCTTTAGCTTTGAGCTTTATTCCTGTTGTTACGTGGGTTGTGTTCCCTAAGTAAAGTACTTTGCATCTGTTTTTAGGGCTTCTCTTCTTTCAACAAATCTTCTTTTTTTGGCATCCTTAAATAGGTAATTTTATAAATGGATTAAAATGAGTAATCTTTTTACCGTTGATTATGGTCAATAAGTAAAAAAGTTAAGATGTAATAGAAAGAAGTTAAACGGTTTGTAAGGTGGTGTTTGTTTTTTGTCTGTAGATCTGCGTGGCCTCTACTGTATGCGTCGCGTAGCCCACGCGCAGACATTAGCTTTCGCAGACTGTTTGTTTTTTTGAAGACTGCAGACCTAAAAATGTTTGCGCGTCCTCTTCTTGGTGCAGATATGGACCAGAGTCTTCTAACATCTTCAGACATCTTCTAGCCTAAAAAAACACATATATCTTTATTTTTTTTTAAAGTTTTTTTTTTAATTTATATTTTTCCAACTTTATTAATGATAAACAATTTGAAAAAAAATTACAAAACTTAAAAAAAAAACGTTCGACGATACAAACATGATATTTTTGACAAATTTATAAATAAATATTTATTACAATAATAGTCGTTGAAGTTGTTTATATAAATATGAAAAAAAAAATCATAATATATATTCGTATATTTTTTTGCCAAATTTTGTAAAACATTATTTAATACAGTATCGTCAATTTCTCGAGAAAATATTTATGGTACGTTTTAATGGATTTAATTGAAAAAATCGAAGTTTATTTCCATCCATTTATGTATCAAATTCTTTGATCCCTAATTATAATGTTTAGTTATAACTTTGCAACCAAAGTTGTTGATTTTTTTATCAAATATATACGTCAATTCATACCATTTTTATTTTTATTTTTATTTTTTATACAATAATACATAAAAGTTGATCTAGATTTGTTGATTATTTATAACAAAGTCATAAAAATATTAAAAAATCACTTTGAAGTTTAAAAAAATCAGTTTATTTAGATTTTAGTTTGATTTAGTAGCCCGCAGATGTTAGAAAAACAAACAGTCTTCTTTTTTCAGACTGCAAATGTTTGGTCCACCTCTTCTACTGTAGAGGTCTACAGATGTGGTGCGCAGACTGCAGACATATTGACTCAGAAAAAACAAACAGCACCTAAGTGTATTTTTTAATGTCACAAGTTGTATTTGCATGCACTTTGAACAAACTTTCATAAATTTTATTTATGTTTCGATTGAAGTTTTATTTGATATGTTGAAGAAAATATATAACTTACTTTTTTTCGATCGATATTATGGGATTTGATTAAAATGTGGGCTTAAAATTATCTTATTAGTTTAGGTAAAGTCGTTTAACATTTTAGATATTATGGATTTTGATTAAATGTGAGCTTAAAGTTATCTTATTAGTTTAGGTAAAGTCGTTTAACATTTTATATGGATAAATAATAAATTGGTCAAAATTTGTAATTTAATGATATTTTGTATTGAGATAAACTATAAAGCACTTATTGTAGAACTCAATTTTTTATGACAATTACAACAATGTGATTAGTTTCGAAATTGGACGAAATTTAAGTTCTCAGGTTCAATGAACACTAATATGTAGTTTATTAAATTCATATGGATTCGAACGTCCATAAAATTATTGAATATTTCAACGATATGATGTAATGAAAAATGTATTTTTATTATGATATAAAGGAAAAAACGTATTTTATAATGTTTTAAAGAATAATGGAAGTTGAAACTGAAAACATGCTACGTCAGATTGATACAAATTAAGTAATCAATGTTAAGATAAAAAAATCAAATTAAGCGGCTTGAATTGAATTAATATAAACATAAAAATGAAAAAAATATGTTAAAATATTGTTAAAATCACTATTCACAGGTTGCCAATTGTTAATATTTATAATCGTCCGTTTAATAAAGACCGAAAACAAAATAAAGGCAAAAAATGTTAATAACAACAAACTATTATAGCTTAAGGTCTTGTGTTTTACATATGGCATGTCAAAATACACGCTTTTGTTTGTATTTGGTGTGCATTATCGTGGAATGGAACATTAATGCTAGTTACACCCAAACATGTAAAACAATGGACAACAACTTGTTATTTATTTATTTATTTCTCGTGTGTACAAAAGACATAAAATAGTTACACCTAAATATATTTCCTCCGTTATCTTGTAAAATAGTCATAAAAAAATTGTTCAAAACCATCCGGTTTCCATGTTTACATCAATAATGTATTGTCTAATTATCAAACAATAAGATAGATATATATATATATATATATATATATATATATATATATATATATATATATATATATATATATATATATAAGAGAATAAACAAGAATAATTTCACCTGTTTGGAAGTGTTCGGGCAATGAATAAAGTTGGTCTCACTCTCTAGTTGTCTTCTTTTTTTGTTCTTCAAATCTTTAGCTTTTCTTTACATGTCGTGTTTTCTTTTATAGTTTTTGATTTTGAAAGTTTCAAGAATTTGGGTCCAGATTCAAATTTTAAAAGCACCTTTCTTTTACTTTTGGGTTACATAACATTGCATGCATGAGTGACCCACTCTCAATTCCTCTCGTAATTTCGGGTAATTGGTTTTGGAAGATTTTTTATAACCCAAAAGAATTTATAACTGGTCAAACTATCATAATCAAATGGCCCACTTATTTGGCAGAGTAGGTAAATTTTCTTTTAATTTATATAATCTATTATATTTATTACAATATATGCCTAGAAAAATCAATGGAACGTACCATTCCAATTCATTTCCTATAAAAAATTATAGAATTTAAAAAAAAAAAGTCTTAACTTGAGCAACGTTTAAATATCTTAAAATGGTCATCTAAACATATATTCAGAAATTATTTTAATTTGTAAAATCGTTTTATGAATAATATTTATTACTTACTACTACACAATGAAGAACTTCATAAAAAATAATGTTATTTTACAAAAAAAAAATATATAACATAACTTTTTAGCATTTAAAATCACAACATGTGGTATCAGAGCTATAATATTGAATAAGATCTTCAACGAGAGATATCAACATAATACATAAGAATTTGGGTTAATATCAAAGGTTTAAGAATGGACATGTTAATGTGTGTTTTGCATTTGGATCGTGTTTCTTCAATTTGGATGACAACAGATTCCTTTTTTTTTTCTTGTGAATTTGGGTTAAGTCAACGAACGAGTAACAATGTTTGTCCGAATAAACTGTTATATACATAATACATAAGATCTGTTTTCTTTTTCTATACTAAATAAACTGTATGAATGAGCTAAATCATCATTTTACACTTACATATTTCCAAATAATAAATTCCACAATTGTAAAAGGTTAGTGTCTTAATCAATTAAGTCGGTTTTTTTGGCTTAACTCACCAAGTCAATCTTTCTAGATTAAATAAAAAGATAATGTATAATTGTCCAAATTAAGTACTTTAACTAATATAACCTCATAATAAATAAAAACAATAATAATAATATGCGAACATGACATGTGTATAAAGTCACATATTTCAAAACCAGCACATGAAGACAAGTAAAAGGGAGCGAGTTAGGTAGATCCTTTATGTCGAGATATGCTGACTTAAGAAGATATTACCTAAGGTCATTTTCGTCCTTCATTTTGTTCATCAATCATTTCCTAATTCCTATTTTGCAGCTTCTATTTCCATTTTTTTTACAAAATAAAAATATCATTAAAACAATAAAAATATCTTATAATATGTGCCTCATGATTTTAGGGATTGTTTAATAGTTGTAGATTGAGTTAGATCTGATTCAGTGATTGAGTCTGGCCAGTAAAATGCATATCAGTGACTATATAACTGAATCAGAAGCTTTTAATTGTGATACCAAACAGTCGTCTGAACCTGACTGGGTCAATTCATACCGAGTTAGTCCGAACCTCTTACTGAATATGACCGAGTCAATTCAAACCAAGTCAGTCCAACCTCTTGATGAATCTGATTGAGTCAATTTAAACTGAGTCAGTCCAAACTCTTACGAGAGGCTTAGTTTGATAACAACCCTTAGTTTGAAAACAGAACTTAAAAATCCAAAATTCCATCAAAATGGCATCAAAATGATCAAATGGAAGTGGAAGTGGAGGCTAATTGAGAATCATTTAGTATCATAAAAATAATCAGATTTTATTTATTATATACTACAAATAATAAATACTAACTTCTAACCCAGATGTTGAATGATACCCAAATAGCATTCTTGAAGATATATGCTGGATTTAATAGCTAAAATTTATAAGCATCGAATGAATAGACATGATTCTACATGCCATAAAGAAGTGGAAACTCATCATACTGTTCAGAAAACCCTAATTCTTGTCCCATGTTCTTCAATGCTTCATAAACCTGATACATTGACCATCTTGATCTAGCTTGAGGTGTAACACAATTACCTGCAATTCCCATGAATTTCACAATTTTCTCATCATGACCTGTTCCATGAACATTCTTATCAATGGCATTCTCAATCTGTCCACAACTTGAAAGCTGATTCACCCAATCGACTAAACTACCCTTAAACCCTTCTTCAGCAGCTGTTACATTCGTGGGTTTTTGACCAGTTGCAAGTTCTAAGAGCACTACACCAAAAGCATAAGCATCGCCTTTCATGGAAGGAACCATGGTCATGGAGTATTCTGGAGCTACATAACCGAATTCACCAAGATCACCATTGATAAAGCTACCTTCGTTAGAATTCATGAGGGTAGCTAATCCAAAATCTACTATTCGAGCATCGTAATCTTCATCAAGAAATATGGCGTTGGAACTTACGTTTTGATGTAAGATTGAAGGTCGACAGCCATGGTGGAGCCAAGCAAGGCCTCTTGCTGCACCAAGAGCGATTCTAAATCTACTTGGCCAATCCAGCAAGCTTGATTGTTTAGATAATGTAGAAGAGAGAGTTCCGTTTGACATGTATTTGTAAACCAAGAGCTTTTCTTCTTCTACTGTGCAGAAACCCAACAATGGAGTCAGATTAGGGTGCCTGAGTTGACCCAATAGATTCATCTCAGCTCGGAATTGCCTCTCGTGAAGGTCGCATTTGCTAAGTCGCTTGATCGCAAGAGCAGATCCATCGGAGAGAATTGCTTTGTAGGTTGTTCCTGTTCTTGATGAAATGATGACACTCTCTTTACTGAAATTGTTTGTTGCAGCCATTAAATCGACTAATCTGACCTTCACTAGTGGTTTCTGAAACAAAGAGACTTGAACAAGCTTGTGAGTTCTCAACCTATCTGCCCAGCTACTGCTATCGTCGTCTCCACCGATTCCGTAGCGTCTCCTTGCCTTCGATTTCGTCACGCACCACCACCACAACCCAAACCCAATTAACAATGACGCCGCTGCCCCAAATACACCGGCGGCGATAATTATCGCCAGATTCTTCGTGCTTAAACCCCCGCACTTGCTAAGCGGCTCACCACAAAGTCCACTGTTCCCATCAAAATTGGACGAACCAAATCTCGACAAGCCTGGTGGAATCGGACCAGAAAGAGCATTGTTCGCAACCGAAAAATCAGATAGTCTGCCGAAATTTGAGAACTGAGGTGGTATACTACCAGAAAATTGATTGCCGGAGAGGATAAGCTTATTCAAAAACGAACAATTAGCGAGATCCAGAAGCTCTCCCGACAATTGGTTGTCCGATAGATCTAAGTTGACTAAATAAGGCATCCACTTACAGAGGTCCCTGGGTATGGAACCGGTGAGACGATTACCGGAGAGTTCTAGATTCTGTAAGCTCAGACAAAACTCGAAGCTCGGTGAAATTGTTCCGGCGAGGCCTAAGTTAATAGGATTGAGCGTTAGCAAACGGTTTTCCTGATCGTTCCAACAGTCGACGAAATCAAATGTGCAGACGAATCCTGGGGTATTGTTATTGAAGTTCCAGGAGTGAAGCTTCAACTCTGGATCACGAAATGAATCCTTCACGCCTCGCAAACACTTCTCATCGTCCTCTGCGACCACCGACGATGACTGAGTACAGAGGAAAACGGCAACCGTGATGAGTATTACAGAATCAAAGATTCCTCTGAAACGGGCCATTGATCTAGGGTTTTTCTCCATGGGAGTCTGAGAAATTGCGTGATGTTATGGTGGAGAAGAAGGATAAGGAAGGAAGAACATTGACTTTTCTCAAGTGTGTAAAACTTTGACCGGGAGAATTTATTTTTAGCCCTTTCACTTTCCGAGAAATAGTTATTGGTCTATGAAATATTAATTTCTAATGATATTCGTACAATTTAACTTTTTATTTTTTCTTTTAAATCAAAATATGGATACTATATTATAAAATAGTTTCAATCGAAATATAATAGTCAATCTCAAATCTAGTTTTTGTTATTGGAGGCTATATTTTGGTTGATTAATCCAGTAATTCGATATAAATTTTTAATTTTTTTTTTTATCTCTCTTTAAAACAGTTTTTTATTTTCTTTTCGTTTTTTAAGAGTAAAATACAGGAATGGTTCCTATGGTTTCAAGTAATTTCCTTGGATCATAATCCCTAGCTTATTTTTTGACTTGGAAAGTCCCTACTGCTTGTTTATATTGCGCGTTTGGTCACTGTCTTACCTAAAAAATACTATTTTGTCATTGATTTTTTAATTTATTTAAATAAACACACTCCAATCTCACATCCACCTCACCTTACCTTACCTTACCTACCCCCACCTCATTTAAATAAATTAAAAAATTAAGAGCAAAATGGTATTTTTAGGTAGCACAGAGACCAAACGTGCAACAAAAACATATAGTAAAGACATTCCGGCTTAAAAAAATAAGTTAGGGACCAAAAAGCAAATTACTTCAAACCGTATGGACCACAGCTTGATGCTCATTTACCCGCAACGTCTATGTAAATCTTTCTTTCTTATAATATTAAATTTGAAAAAAAAAAGTAAGAAATTTTGTTTTTTTGTATTTTCGGAAAAAAGGCCAAAAAGGTTTAATTTTTTGTCAAAATTTATGTGTTAGAATACGTTATTTTAACTAAATGTTATTGTCGTTTAATATCATTTTAAAACATGGATATTTATGTGAAATTGACAAATTTAGATGATAGAAGTTTTATAATATATTAGGGAGGAGGGAGTCATTCCATCCCAACCCACTAAATTCACTGCCATATCATTTTTTCTCTTTTATTTTTCTTCATCTTTCCGAACCCACAACACACGAAAATCCTATCTTTTTGAACCCACTCAACCCACTCAATTAAAAAAAAAATACAAAACAATCAAATGTAAAATCTTAATTAACAATAGAGTTATCGGCGGTACCACTCCCGCTTCAACGAGTGGGTTGATTGGTTTCACTAACCCACTTCATCATCTCTCTCTAATTTCTCTTTCTTATTTTCTCTTGTACCATGTGTTTTAAAACTTGTACCTTAGTTGTTTTGTATTTTTTTTTTAATTGAGTGGGTTGAGTGGGTTCAAAAAGATTGGATTTCCGTGTGTTGTGGGTTCGAAAAGATGAAAAAAAATAAAAGAGAAAAATTGATGTGGCAGTGGGTTCGGTGGGTTGGGAGGGAACGACTCCATCCTCCCTTATACGTAGATAAGGATACATGAGTTAATCACGGAAAAAGGTTTGCAAAACAATTGATGATTATGAAGTGTTTAAGTTAATATGTTTTTGTTTGATAAAGTTAATGTAAAATTGATATGCCAAAAGAAAAATGTTATAGTTGAGGTCGATGATTGTGAATGTTTTTAATTTATTACTAGTATTCAATAATAATAATAATAATAATAATATTAATAATAATAATTAGTTTTTTATTAAATATATACTATGTGTTAATTTTAACTTAATCTGGTTAGAACATATTCAATAAAAAAATTATATAAATTGTAATTAAGTAAATGATTGTATAATGCTTTTAAGTTGATAGTAAATAATTAAAATACTTATATAATTTTTTAGAATTAAATATCTTTTTATATATTCTTTCTACCTATTAAATTGTGATAAATGTATTAAAAAATTATTAATTTTATTAAATGTGACATATATCATCATTTAATATGAATAGTAGAATGAATAGGAAGAAAATACAGAAGTATATTTAATTTTTTTTAACAAATAAAAATATATCACGAGACTGTTTTGGACTAAATTTATTTCAGAAAATATTTTTAAGGTTAAGCATTGAAATTAATTTAGAATAATAGTTTTTTATCAATAAAATTAAATGGAAATATGATTTGATTAAAGTAAAAAGATTTTGAGGTTTTAACTAATGAAAATGTCTTTTTTAAAAATAAACTCGATATCAATCGCATAAAATTTCTATTGAATTTATCACGCAGCAAAAGGGTAAAGATTATATGGACCATTCATTTTATTAGTTAGACCTAGGGGTGTTCAAAAATATCTGTATTCGAAATTTTGAATCCAAATTATACAAAAAATCGAATATCCAAAATTTCGGATAATATCAGAATTTTAGGATATCCGAAACTTCGGATATCCGATTTTTCGGAATCGGCATTGGATAGTGTTTTTCAGATTTTTCGGATAATTCGGATATCCGATATCTGATATCCGAAAAATTTGATTTTAGTTGATACATTATTTGTTATTTTAGTCACATATGTCCTATGATATGAATGTTAGTAACTAAAACATGTTGATAATACCCTTAATTAAATATCTATATTACTTCCTATGCCTTTCTAATTTAAAAATATGTCTTTCTAATTTAAAAACTGCATATGCCTTTCAAATCTTAACAAAATTTCAAATTTTCGGATATCCGATTTTGGTATCCTATTCCGTATCCGAAATTTCGGATACGATATCAGATACCAAAATCTGAAATTCCAGATACAGAATCGGATACCAAAAATCAACTATCCAAAATTCGGATATCTGAATTTTCGAATATCCGGTTATGAACACTCCTAGTTAGACCGTATCATTTATATAAAATCGATTAATAATATTTTACCAAAAATTTAAATAAAATCAATAAGTGAAAAAAATTATCTTATTCTAAACAATTAATGAATTAAATAATAAATGAAATGTTTTTTTTAATATATGTTTTTCTCTCTTTTGTCTTCAAAAAATAATTCCAAGTATAACTAATTTAGGGAGAAAGGGTCTAAACTTGACCAAGGGGCCAGAGAGAACAGAGATTTCATTGTCCTTTTGGCAGCACGTGAAACTTTAAAGATTCCACGCGCTATGAGTGTGAGAGTGGGACCAGAGAATAATTAAACAAAATTATCAAGTCAAATCCTCCTAACGAAAGTTCTTCCTCTAACGTCGAATTTTCACGTAAATATAAATTCTACTTCTCTACCAAGAGCGTGCGTAACACGTCCCAAGATTTCTTGAACCAATAAACAACGGAATCGAAGGTACGGACGCTAAGAATGTTAGATCGAACAATTACCTATCGATAAACAATTTTAGTAAAAATAGAAAGAGAAATTAAATGTCTTTGTAATTTTTATTCCTATAAATATTTTTATTCAATTAAATAGTGATATATATATATATATATATATATATATATATATATATATATATATATATATATATATAGCATTTAGTGTTTATTTAATGATATTTTAATATATTAATATAACACATGTCATAATTTAATTGGATATGAAGATTTATAGTAATAAAAGTAAAATGATATTTAATTTCTCAAAAAAATAAAATACATGTTACTTAATAAACGATTAGACAAAAAAATCGAAAATCATTAGGTTAGAGAGATAACTCAGAGAAGCAACCCTTTAGCACATTGCCACATAAATTTTTTAGTGTTTTTATTGTCACGGATGCTTAATATGTGTACATTGTAAATATTGGGGAATGATAGTGTTAGTTTAATAAGGTTTATTTTAGAAAAAAATTAAAAAGATAAAAACAAAAGAAACAAACAATCACAACTCAAATACCAACTTTATTATTGTCTCTCTTCTTGCTACAGCCATAACGAGGCACCTATGAAGACCGCCATTGTGCAAGCCAGGAGCGGTGTTTGGAGAGCCTAGCGAGGCTTGACGACCTCCTTGGCTTCTCCCACTCTCTGCAACCTTAATATGCATCTCAACTCTCAAGCAATAAAGATGAGTTGCAAAGAATTTTTAGCTTAAAACTTTTTATATAGATAAAAATTAGATAATCCAAAAGATAGTGTTTATGTGCTTTTAGTTGTTATAAGGTTTTATGTTTTAATTTTATGAAATTTTATATATTTTAGAAAGTTATATGTATTTTTGTTGAATATTTTTATACACATAAAACTACAATTTCAACTTCTAACTATAAGTTAGTTTTGTCAAACAAACATTGTTTTACGATTCAACAATTAAAAACTAAATGTATAAAAATATGAATTGTATTTTGAGAAGGGACCTGACTCAAATAACTCATGCTCGAGCCTACTTCACTCATATTATTTCATTATCGAATTGGATGGGTTTTTGTATTGACCCGTTTCATGAGTACCCCTAAGGCTAGTAGGTATGGGTATGGACGTATGGTGTTATAACATCAAAACAATGTCACCTACCACATCATCCATGATGTTATAACACATGTAGAAATTGTCACCATGTTATAACACCAAGTAATTTCCATGTCATCGTTTATTTTTTAATTTATTTTTTCAAGTTTCTTTCTTTTAATAGTTACAAAAACAAATATAATTTTATAAAACATTAATTTAAATAAAACATAATATTTAAATTAACCATAACATTTAAATTTTAAAAAAAAAACAATGCTAGATCAAAAAATACGATAAATTTATAACATAAACGATAATCGTAATTGCCCGAATGTATTGCCCGAATCTTCGCATTCATCATTTGTAGCACTTTTGCATCTTCGGCCGCCAAACCTTCCTTGCTACACCTAAGAATTTCTAACTCATTCGCCATATCTTCTCACTCGCGTCTCTCCCTCTCCTAATGTGCTTGTTTACGAAGGAAATCCAAGTGCTCACGTTTTAACTTATTTTTTCCTTTTTGTAGTAAATTGTGTTCCTAGAACTTCGCTTCAATTTCCGCCATATG